CTGGTAGCCACACCCCCTTTGATGGGTTTTAAGGGTTGATGGGCTTCCTCTGGACTAGCACTTGGGGCGGGGCCGGACTTCCTCCTCCGGTCTGGCTGGGCGCCTGGCGTCTTTCCTCCTAAGTTTTGGGAAGAATCTAAACTTCTAAAAGTCAGAGAAAATCTACCCTTGGACTCAGTGGAAAATACTTCATTCAGAAACCATAAGCTGAAGTTTCTTAAATGTCTTTCAGAAACAAACAAACTTTGGAAGAAGATCAAGTAGCTGATGGCATCAAACAGATATTTCTACCCAAGAGAATAAAACAAGAAAAAAAATTTCTAATTAAAAATTTTTGCTCTGCTTGTTATCATTCTTTGGTGGCTTCCAGAGGCCAACATAATTTCAAGTGTGTTTCAGAAATCTTCATAATTATTCTTAACTCTAGTGTTTTTCTTCACCTAAGGAAGAGCAAAGCTTTCTTGTGTGTTTTTATCAGACTCTATCTATTGTTTTAAAACTAACTAATTAATAAATTTTCATCCTTCATCTGATTCTACTAACAAAAAATCTAATAATTGTTCTTTTCCACAGTTTAAAAGGCAAATTCTCTTTTGTGGGCCCTTCTGTAACTTGAATTTTCCTGAAGGTTAATTTTAACCTTTACTCTATCAAAATTGGACACTGACCCCCAAATAACGTACTTCTGCTGACATTATTGCAACAAAAAATGGAGGGCATCCTTGAAGCATTAGTATGTTATCTTCTGTGACTCCCCAGCCTCCATTCTAGAAATCTTCACATTTAAGGGCCTACAGGTCACTTCACTCTCATTGACTATCTATCTATCTATCTATCTATCTATCTATCTATCTATCTATCCACACACACATTTTTTTCCTTTTCTTTTCTTGGTACCACAGATTGAAACCAGTGGTGTTTAACCACTGACCCCATTCCCAGCCCTTTTTATTTTTTATTTTGAGACAGTCCTGATCAGGTACTTAGGTCCTTTCTTTCAGTTGTTGAGGCTGGCTTTGAATTTTTGATCCTTCTGCCTCAGACTCCTGAGTCACTGAGATTCCAAGCATTTACCACCGTGCCCAGCACCCCAGTCTCATTGTGATAGGTGAGACTTTACCCCCGTACAATTTGTGTAACACTAAACTACCACAGTTCATGTGGACATCAGGGTTTCATCTGATCACTACACAAACCTATCTTATGTGATATGTTGCAGCTTTTTGAATATTTTATTAATAAATATTAAAACATTTTAACTTTAAAAATATTTTTCAATTTTAATCACCTACTCTTATAAGAAACTATATTTTTCTGAGAAATATACTTAGTTACCTAAAATGAGGCAAGCCTGGACTGTGGAGGAAGGCTCCAAGGAGAGATC